CGTCGGTGCCGGAAAAGGCAGCAACGAGTTATCGCTAGATTGTCGGCTTGACCTTCCTGCCGTTTCGCCTGCGTACCAAACTTCAAGGACCAAGGTGCGTGGCGCGAAGCGCCACTGTAGTCTTGTATTTATGTTTATGTTTCTATATATATATATATGTGTATGTATCCCTAGCGTTTTTGTTGTTTTCTCTTGCTCTATATCTCTCTTTCTCCCGTATCGTTTTTTTTTTTGTTCGTATGTTTGTATATCTCTATGTGTACAGTGTGTATATATATATGTAATAGTTATGACCAATCTATGTGCGTATATATGGTGTGTGTATATATAAATGTGTATGCCCATACATATGCGATATTTGTAGGTATATATATATATAGATCATGTCCTGACTCTCTCTAATTTCTCAGCTCGCTCTACTCTCTTTTCTTCTCTCCATATCTTTGATGATGGGAGCGGGCACTCTTCTCAGTACATTTCTCAGTATGTGTGCTCAGCTACACAATTTTCATTGTCTGATACATACCCAAAAGTCTCTGCTCTCTAATCTCTCCTTTCTCGTTGCGATCACGGTCGCAACGGCCTGGATACTCTGCCGCAACCAAAAACTCCCACATCCGTGAACCTTACAATGCCCGGACATCCAGACCCGGAACTAAGAATCCCAGAACCAGGCCGCCCACGGAACTCGGCCCGGAACCCGAAATCGGGAAGCCCACCAGTTCCCAGAACTGGAAGCCCAGCTGCCCACCGAAATCGGAAGGCACCCTCACCTGCTGCCTCAGTCTCCGCTGGGCCCCCTCTACAGTGCAAACGCTGATCGGGCAGTACATCGTGGGAGGTCTGGGCCGCCAGTCCAGGGCAAGCCACACCTCCGGAGCGCCAACCCGCACCCCATCGCCACAGATCCAGTCCTAGGCCAGTCTGGGCGCCCAGCTCCCCCCCCCCGGGGAACCCCAAGGCGGACGTGCGCGCCCACCCACGTAAATCAGCACGGCCCCATAATCCGCGAGACCAACCGTGTGACGCGAACGTTCGCGCAATGCGTACTTTTGATTCGCGGGTCGAGAGCGCACCTCTTCCGGTCGAAGCTAAGCGGGCCGCGCGAAGCTTGAATTAACCACCGCGCAATGCGCACAGTCAACCCGTATAGTCACTGAGGATGCGCGGTGAGGCTGCGCGGGCCTGGGAGGGCCCTGCCGACGTTTCTCGAACGAGGCTGCCCAGCGCAAGCCGCCAAGGGTGGGCCGAGGGGCAAGGCTGCCAGGGTAGCCCTGGGGAAAGCTGACCATCCTTGCTGCGCTGCCGGACTACACTCTCGAAAACCAGCGTGGATTCGCGCGTGCGCCCTCCAGTGCTCGGCCCTCGCGCTCTCGCGCTCTCGCGCCAGCCCCAGGCCCTGATCGGGCCGAGCCCGCTGACTCGGGAGCGGCCAAGAGGGGGGTGTCCAAGAGGGGTGTGTGCAAATCATGACCGGCGGCAGGTGCGCGGCCCAGGGACAAGAAGGGACGTAATGAAACAAGAAGGGGCGCCATGAGATCTGGGGAAATATCATGGCCCCCGCCATGATATCCGCCCCCCCCCCTAGCCATCACCCCCCTCTTTTCCGCCCCCGCCCCCGAAGAGGAACAGGCCCGACTTCATACGCCTGCCGCGTGCCTCTGTGCCGGGCAGGCGCGCCGGCGCCACGCGCTGCGGCTCACCCCGCGCCGCGTGCCGCGGCCCGCCGAGCGGGGGCTGGCGGCGCGCACAAAGGGGCGGCGGGAGGGCTGACTGACCCCGAGGTCTAGGCCGAGGGGCAGGCCCGGGCCTCGAGGGCCTGCTGCCGACACACACGCCCTTGGGCCTGGCTGTGGCTCGGGCCGCAGGGTCCGACCCCATAGGCCTCGGGCTCCCCCGGTCCAGGCCCTGGCGACGAGGAGGAGGAGGAGGAGGAGGAGGAGGAGGAGGAGGAGGAGGAGGAGGAGGAGGAGGAGGAGGAGGAGGAGGAGGAGGAGGACTTTTCCTTGGGTGGGGGGGGGGGCGCGCGTCGCGCGGCCGCTCGCTGCGCTCCACGCTGCGCCCACCACGCGTCGCGCGTCGCGCGTCGCGCGTCGCTGTCGCTGGCGCGCTCCACGCTGCGCGTCCACGTCTGACCCCTTGGCACGGAGAATTCTGAGATCTGGACCAAGGCCAAGTTCCAGGAACCCCAACCCCAGACCCCCGACGCCACGATCTCTTCAAGACGTGGGCACCTGGAGGCCTTGCCCCATTCCCTGGGACGGGCTTTTCATCCCGAGCTGCTCTTGGAAGGTCCTGGGGCCCTCCGAGGGCCCCCCTACGGCCGAACATGACAGACCTCCCGTCGTGATCTTTGTCACGAGGCGGGGGGGTAGGAGACCCAGGGCCCAGCCCCGAGCGAGGCCCCCTTCTCCCTGCTCCCTGCTCCCTGCTCCCTGCTCCTCCTCCTCCTCCTCCTCCTCCTCCTCCTCCCTGGCTGACTCCGACGAGTGCCACGCGCCTGCGCGACGACCGCCGCTGCGTCGTCGAGGGCCAGCGGCCGCCGGCGGTCCTGCAGGCGGTGGTACAGGTTCTCCTCGGGGCGGGCCGGGGGAGCGGGGATGCGCACCGTGGCTCGAAGCGTCTGCGCGAACGAAGGGGGGGCACGAGGAGGAGGAGGAGGAGGAGGAGGAGGAGGAGGAGGAGGAGGAGGAGGAGGAGGAGAAGGAGGAGGAGGAGGAGGAGGAGGAGTGAGGAGGAGGAGGAGGAGGAGGAGGAGGAGGAGGAGGAGGAGGAGGAGGAGGAGGAGGAGGAGGAGGAGGAGAGGAGGAGGAGGAGAGGAGGAGGAGGAGGAGGAGGAGGAGGAGGAGGAGGGGGAGGAGGAGGAGGAGGAGGGGGGGAGGAGGAGGAGGGAGAGAGGGAGGAGGGGAGGAGGAGGAGGAGGAGGAGAGGAGGAGGAGGAGGAGGAGGAGGAGGAGGAGGAGGAGGAGGAGGAGGAGGAGGAGGAGGGGGGTGACACGGCTGGAGGAGAGGAAGAAGGAGGAGGAGGGAGGAGGAGGAGGAGAAGGAGGAGGGGGAGGAGCAGGACCAGTGCACACCGAAGAGTCGTCAACGATGTTGCAACAAACGCTTCCCCTACAAGTTCCCTCTTCATGGGCCCCTCCAATGCTGTATTTTCGCTGAGGTACATGCCCCGCTGGAAAACCGCCGTTTGAAAACTGTGAACTGCGCCAGAGCACCGCTCCTGGGCCTTCAGCGCCCTGAATCACACCTAATGTTGCGTCTTGACGATCCTGAATCGCGCCAGACTGCAATTCCTGGTATTTCAACACCGCGAATCAACGCAACGGTTACGCCCTAACAGTCCGACGTGCCAAAACACCGTTTCTAGGACGCTAGCCATGTCAGCCCTTGCAGCTGTAGTGAACTCTTACGGAGAATATGTGCAGCGCTAGGCGGGAGCCACTTTTCGAAAACGACCTCCCCTCCATCTGTGAAGCTCTCGTGTCCTTCAAACAGGCGTGCGCGGCGCTCAGGCGAGACCACCATTCTGGAAACGACCCGCCCTCCACCGATACAGCTCTTGCTTCGTCGTTCTAAAATCGGGCCGGGCGAAAGGGGGGGATAGCAAAGGGGGGGTTTGAGAATCAGCTCGCGTAGCTGATTTTCCTGGCGCCTCCCAGCGCTGGAGGCGCCCATGTATCGAGGAACGGGCCCCTCGGTGGGGCCGAAACCAGCTACATGCAGCAAACTTCGTACCCCCCCCTTTCCCCTATCCCCCCTCTCGTCCGGCCCGATGAAAGAGGAACGCGCGAGGCGACGAGGCGAGAACCACATCTTGAGGAGGGCCCGCCCTCGACGCGTGAAGCCCCTGCAAACTCTCGGAGCGAAGGCGTGCGCGGCGCTCGGCCGCGAGAGCACCGCACTCTGAAGACGACCCGTCCTCCACCCGTGAAGCCCTGGCAGCCTCAGGAAACAATACGGACACGACGCCGAGCTTGTCTTGCTGTGTTTTTTTTGGAGGGAGAAGGTGGGAGCGGACACAACGACTCCACCCGAAGACGCGCGAGAACTCCGTGCACTGAGCGACGGAGAAATTAAATCGCACCCAAGTTGGGAGCACTCAGTGGCAATCTAAGCGGTCGCAGCCCAGACTGGGCAGGACGACCAAAATAAACTGGCACCAATAATCTGGAAGCTTGTCTTGTTATGCAAAGCGCCTATTGTATCATTCCTCGAGTGCAGAGTGTGTGCTTTCACGCACGCTTCTAACTCCGTCTTGGCCCTTTGGGCCACATTTCGAGGACGCCCCGCCCTCCATCCGTGAGGCCCTTGCAAATCGAAGCTTCAGAACCATAACTGATCGAGGCGTCTCGGGCGAAACGCCCAGCCCGCCCTCTCGACAGGCCTCGGGGTGCGACAGGGAGGAATTGCACATCAGGGCACGACATGGAAGAGGAGGGGGAGGGCGGGGAGGGGGGGGAGGAGCGAGGAGAAGCGAGGAGGAGGAAGAAACAGACAGGGGGCATGAGATTTGGGAGACACCGCAGCCCGGCCATGATTCGGAGCAGGGCGAGTTGAGGCAACTCTTTGGGTGACCCGAAAGGGGGTCCTGCTGAAAGGGGGTGGTGCAATAGATTTGGGGCAATTGTATTGCAAATGTATTGCGCCGGAGAACTGTATTGCATTGTGTTGCAAGTAATGTATCGCACGCAGGAATCCAGCAATACATCTTGCGCCCTGGAATGTACTGCACGCCCCGAATGTGTTGCAACCCCACAGATCTATTGCACCAAATCTGTTGCACCACCCCCTTGTCGCTGGACCCCCTTTGGGCCAATCCGAGCAACCGCAGTCAGAAAAGGGAATCCCCCAGAAACCCCTCCCGGGGCCCAGGACGCACCGATCTTCGAAGCTGCGTCCACCCGTGGCGACCAGTGGCCCCCTCCGACACCCAACCACCGGCTGCTCACATTCGCCCTCCTTGAAGGGGCCCTGGGACACACAAATAAACACACACAAATAAAACGATTCCCCATATTTCCCCATATTTTCTGGGTTTCTGTCTTCCCCCCCCACTTCCTATATTTTCCCATATTTTCAAGGGAATCGACGATTAATTCCCCATATCCTAAGATGGGGTTCTTGTTATTGGCGGACCGCGCCGGAGGAACTCACCCTCACCTCCTCCTCCCTCCTCATCACTCAGACTCACTCATCACGCAGACTCTTTCAATCACTCAGACTCACTCATCATCCAGACTCACTCATCACTCAGACTCACTCACCACTCAGACTCACTCATCAATCACTCAGACTCACTCATCACTCAGACTCACTCATCACTCAGACTCACTCATCATCACTCAGACTCACTCATCACTCAGACTCACTCACCACTCAGACTCCCTCATGCTCAGTTTCACTCAGACTCAGTCATCACTCAGACGCACTCATCACTGAGACGCAGTCATCACTCAGACTCAGTCATCACTTAGACGGCCCCGAGAACAACTCACCACTCAGACCCGGTCCACTCATCAGATGACTCACACACACACACTGATGTTGAGGATGTCTCAGGCGATTCTGTGGCTTCAGCACTCCTAAGGGGGGCGGCGGGGGGCGTTATCACGGGGTCTCGTTCGCGGAATTTTGTGGGGATGTCTCAGGCGGTTTGGCCATTTTCTGCTCCAACATGTTTCGCTTTCGGAGCAGATTTGGAGGACGTTCGCGCCCAGTTTGGGGGGATGTCTCAGGCGGTTTGGCCGTTATGATGCTGGGCATCTGTCGTTTTCGGAGCAGTTTTGGGAGGATGTCTCAGGCGATTTGCTGGTTTCAGCACTCCCAAGGAGGAGGAGGAGGAGGAGGAGGAGGAGGAGGAGGAGGAGGAGAAGGAGGAAGAGAAGGAGGAAGCGAGGAGGAGGAGGAAGAGGACGAGGAGGAGGAGGAGGAGGAGGAGGAGGACAGCATGAACACGGTAGGAGCAGAAGCAGGAAGGGGATGATGATGATGATGATGATGATGATGATGATGATGATGATGATGATGATGATGATGATGGAGGAGGAGGAGGAGGAGGAGGAGGAGGAGGAGGACGTGGGCAACTCGAGTAGCCAGGGCCAGACGATCGAGGTTCGATGTTCCAAAGCTTTAGGTTTTACTCAAACGCTTCCGCCTCACTCTCCTTCGCTCTCCGCTCTCCTTCACTCTTCTGCATTCATACTCGCTCATACTCATACTCAGTCACACGCAGGCTCACTCGCACTTAGACTCGCTCATATCCATACTTAAACTTACTCACACTCAGACTCACGCTCAGAACCACTCATACTCAGACTCGCTACTGCTCAGACTCATCATCCTTCGGTCCGCTCAAACGCAGACCGACTCACACTCAGACTGCCTCACATCCATACCCAATCACACTCGGCTCACTCGCACTCAGACTGGCTCACACTCAGATTCGTCCATACTCAGACCCACTCGCACACAGACGCACTCGCGCTCTTATTTACTCACACGCATACCCACTCAAACCCAGGCTCAATCGCACCCAGATTAACTCACACTCAGAATCAGTCGCTCTCAGATTTGCTATTGGTCGCACTCATGCTTGCAGACTGTGGGAATGTCTCGAGCGAGCGGTTCGCTCTCGCACACAGGCGCTCATTGACAGATATCAAGAGAAAGACGTACCAAGCGAATGAGATGCACATATGGGGAGCCCCGCGTCGAATAATTGTGTCTGTGTTTTTTTTTCTCCTGACTCCTCTGCATGGCTCGGCTACACGCAAGTGTGACCCTGGGCAAGAGTGACCTTTGGTGCGCGGCTCCTTGGGGGCCGCGGGGGGACCAAACCTGGGCGCGCAAGCCGCTGCTCCTGCTCCGTTTTCAGCCACCCGGGGGCCCATCGGTGCCCGCACCAGGAGGCCACTCCGGCGAAAGGTCACTCCTGCGTCGGGTCGAACGGTACCCCCCCTCTTGCACGCCCCCGGTCTCCGGCCCCCCGTACTCCAGCCGGAAAAGGATGTGCGTTGGCGTGTGGTGGGTCTGGTACAGGCGGGTGATGTTCGGGTGCCGCCACCGCTCGTCGCTGAGCACGGTCATCACGCGGGTCATGTTCTGGACGAGCTGGAGGTTTCGGATCCGCGCGCTCTTGGGCACCATCTTGAGAGCATACACGTTCATCCCCGCCTCCAGGAGCAATCGACATCGAATCGACAAATCGGATCGGGTCGGAATGTGCACGAATCGGGCCAGATCGGCACGGTGTCGGAATATCATCGAATCGGCCGCGCCAAGATGTACAACAGTGCCTTGCAAGCATCGAACAAAACTGAATCGGATCCAGCCGGCCCGAACCGATCGGCTGGGAGTGAGCCCCGCACCTCTGGACTCTCCGTCAACCTGTAGACAGACCCGAGCTTTCCCTCTCCGAGCTTGTTCCCGACGGTGTACCTAGGAGAAGATGGAGAAAACCATCACAAACATTATTTCTCGGCTGTCCTGGCCGCTTCTTGGATCGGCGCTGCACCTCCCTGGCGCGCGGAGCGCGCCAGGGGCGGCACCCGAGTCGCCGCCAAGGAGGTCAAGCGCCAATCCGGGCAATCCGCGCGGACCTCCGAACATATGGTCATGCTTGTGCGCACTTCTTCCGAGTACCCAGGCAGCTCCTGTCGGCACGGTCGAAAAGGAAAGAATGGGGACGAAGGCCGACAACAATTCCTGCCCATCTTGAACGCGAACGCTACCCACTTGAGACGAAAAGTCGCCTGCCCAACAGCGGCTGCTGTCGGATTTCGACACGGCTCTCGCCGTCGCCGTCGCCGTTGCCGCCGTCCTCGTTCGTCGTCGTAGTTGTTGCCGTCGTTGTCGTCGTCGTCACCGTCGCCGTCGCCGTCGTCGTCGTCGTCGTCGCCGTCGCCGTCGTCGTGGCCGTCATCGTCGTTTTTCGCCGTCGTGGCCGTCGCCGTCGTCGTCGTCGGCACTCGCCGCCTCCGCCGTCGTCGTGGGTTGCCATCATCGCATCCGCGCGGAACTCCGAAAATTCTATGTTAATGCACGTGTTTTGTCTTCGAGATTCTGTCTGTGCAAATTTCGCGCGTGGCAATCCTGCAGAAGTCCAGGCTGCAAGGTGTCGTCCACCGGCGGGAAGTCGGGCGCCAGGCGTGTCGCCGCGAACCCCCACACGGCGTCTTGCGCGCACTGCTGCAAGTACTGCGCGTGCTGCGTCCGGACGTGTCCCTCTTGGCATGGCGGGTATGTATGTATATACATATAAATATCCGTGAACCCCCGATAATCACTGCCCGGGGATAATAACGTTCAGGGCTCTCTGGGGTTATAACAAACAACTTCCTGGCAATCCGCATGTACGGATGTACGGTGTACGGGCTGTCGAAAAATGTTTGGGAACCTGAGAAATACCATGGTCTGACGATGCCCTGCTCGCTCAGGCGGGGCCTCCCTGGAAGGGTAGGAGAGCGAAACCTTCGAACTAGTATGGTGTGGCGGTACCTTGCTCGCTCTGGCGGGACCTCTCTGGCGCTCTGGCGTTGGAGGCGACAACAGGGGCAATCACCACAACTATTTGGTGGTGGTTGGGCACCCAATTTCGCCGGGCAATACAACTTGTGTTGTAACGGCTTTGGGCACCCGCCAGACGACTTGATAGAGCGGACCTCTGGAAATACTGAATCGGCTTCCGTCGCGATGTTATCCGTTGGCGTTGCGCCGCCAAACCACACGCTCCAAGCGTAACCCGCGCTGAACAACTCAACACATAGAAATGTTCCTGGAATGGCATTCGAATCCGATCGCCCGCCAAAAACCACCGAGTGGTATATCTGAAACGGCCCGTCCCGAGCACGGCGTCTGGTTTCAGTGATGCGGGTCGTCTGGTTCTCCTTCGCGCCACTGTCCGAGACACATGTTGACGTCGTCCACGGGCCGCAGTGGGGGCGAAACAGCACAGCAACAGGGGGAGGGGAGGGAAACAGAGAAGGACGCGGAAAAGATCGGCTAGAAGGTTTGACGAGGAGGGGGGGGAGGAGGTGGAGGAGGAGGAGGAGGAGGAGGAGGAGGAGGAGGAGGAGGAGGAGGGGGAGGAGGAGGAGGAGGGGGAGGCAGACGGAGGGAGCGGGCGGGGGCTGCAGAGATGGACAAGACGAGCACGCGCCAGCGACGCGCGCGAACGGGGCCCGAGGGGCACGCAGAGTACACGACCCAGCGCTCGCGGCACCACCCCCCAAGGGGATCGGTGGCGTTCACGCCTCTCTCCCCTGGATCCTTCTCATCCTCCCTGCCCTGAATCTCGTTTCTCCTCCTCCCCAAGCTTCGCCCCCTCCGCCTGCTCGTCCCCCCCCTCGAGTCCTCCTATCCCCGGCGACACCAAGTGCTGCTGGAAGGAAGGGGGCGGGCAGCACCTGTCTACCCGGGCCGCCGTCCCTCGGGCGAGTGCGCGGCGCCCGTGGTACACCAGCCAAGGAAACAGGCAGGGCGCGCCATGGGGCACTCAGCCACCATGCCCGCCTGGGGTGAACAGCCAGGGCGCGGCTTCCGGGGAAACATGTAGAGCCTGAGCCTGCAGCAGCCAATTTTCCCTGAGGTGTCCTCTGGGGGTGAAGAGATGTAGGCTGTGCCTACCCTGGCGTTCCGCTAGTGTTTTGACGAGGGGGGCTGGGGGTAAGCAGTTGCTTGCCCTGCCTGTAGAGGCAACCGTTCGTGCCACAGGGGTAAACAGGTGCTTGCTCTGCCTGCAGAAGCAGGCTTGGGGTAAACAGGTACTTGCTCTGCCTGCAGATTGGCTTTGCTCGACCAAGCGGTCGAACTGTAGAGGTTGGCCGCTGTACCTGCCCCCAGCCAGAGGTCGGGCGCGTCCCCCTACAGGCGGATTTTTTGGACGAAGCTTTTCAAGTGTAAAAAACACATCAAAAAAGTAAGCACAGAGTCGAAGCATCGCCCCCTGACTACTTTTGACTATTTCGGGCTACTCCTCCTGCAGAGGGACAGGCCCGACTTACCCCCGGCCCCTCCCCCCTGTACACCGGGCGGGTGCGACCAGGCAGGGGCGGGAGGTCCATCCAGGAGGCTGCGCGGGTGCCCGTGCCCGTGCCGGTGGCCTCCCGCCCGCCGGCACCGCTTCGGGGCAAGCTCTGGAGCCCCACGCTGTGGGCCTGCCCCGCGTCGCTGCAGGCTTCGGCCCCCCCGCCCCCCCCCGGCGCTCCGCTCGGCCCATGCTCCCACGGCTTGATCGCGTGATCGCCGATCGACCAGGAGCTTCACGCGCCCGGCGAGGAGCCCCCTTGTCCTCCTCGCGCTCCTGCCCCCACCTCGTTCTCCACCTCGCACTGCTCCTCGGTCGATCCTTCGCCCTCGAAGTTCTCTTCCTTGCCTTCCTCGCCCTGCGCCCCCTCCTCATCAGTCTTCCCGCCTCTGCACTGATGACTCCCCCACTCCCACCTCCGATCTGCAGGGGGGGCAACATCTGTCCGCCCACTCCATGTTCCAGTGGATTCTGCCTCCTCCCCCCCCCTTTGCTCCACTGTTGAAAGTCAGCTACACGCTGACGTTTAATGACTAGTGGAGGTCGGTGGGAGTAGGTGGAGGTGGGTGCTGGGACTTGCAATTCGGCGTTCACGCCCGAACTGTTTTACTGTGCTGTACTTTACCTTCGGTGCCCGTGCAGAGTTTTCGAGTCTCGACTTTTAGTATAGACACATGAGCTGTCTGTGCTAACTGCCTCTGCTAGCCGCAGCGCCACTCTTACGCGACAGCCGCCAGGTTCAACGCGCGTGCAATCCAAAATCCCTCTGCTCCGCATCTGTACATTGACCCCCCTCATCCTCGTAACCTCCCCTGCCCTTTTCCTCCTCCTCCTCTCCTCAGCCTCCACCGCCGCCCTCTTCCGCAGCACGCACCCGGCCGTCGCCCCCATGCACCTACCACTCGACGGGGGGCACGCGCGCCGACCCTCATCCGACCGAGCGCCCGGAGCAGGACGCCCGTCCCACCCCTGCACAGTTGAGGGTTGCAGGTCGCTGGGGGGGCAGCGTTGTTTCGAGGGCCAGATCCCCGTACGCTCGGCGGGCGCGCTTGATCGGTCAACGGCAATCCTTCCAGCCGCCCTTCGCGAGAAGCTCTGGTGTCAGGTTGCTCTTGCCGACGATTGGGCTGCTCATGCTTGCTCTTGCCCAAAAGAAGCATTGCCCTCTCCCCCGTCGCCCCAGAAACACAGATCGCGTTCGCTGCCCCTCAGCGAGCTTCAAGTTGAGGGGGCCCTGGGACACACAAATATAAATACACACAAATAAGCGGATTCCCCATATTTCCCCCTATTTTCTGGGTTTTCGTCTTCCCCCCCACTTCCCATATTTTCCAATATTTTGGGGGAATCGTCGAGTAATTGTGTCTGTGTGTTTCTCCCTCCTGAATAGTCGGGCTCGCAGTTGCGAAAACCGTTGAGGTCAACAAGTTGTGTTGGGCGGCTGAGTACCCCAGAGCGCATCTGCGGTGTTCAACCATGGCTGCCCGAATCTGGCCTCCAACTCTGGCGGGGCTTCCTTGGAGGGGTGGGAAGGGGCACGAAGCCAGAGAAACAGCATTGCATAACGAGGCCCTGCTCGCTCTGGCGGGGCCTCCCTGGCGCTCTGGCAGCGCTTCCCTGGAGGGGTGGGAAGAGCACGAAACCTGAGAAATAGTATGGTATAGCGACACCCTGCTCGCTCTGGCAGGGCCGCTCTGTTTCAGCCCATGCTTAAGCGATAACAGCTACGATTCGTGTTTGACCCAGTGGATAATCAAGTTCGGCCTCGCCGCCCCACACCGCCGACGAAAAGTGCCTTGGCCAATCATCATCAACACAGGAGGGCTGCGGGGGGGTATTCTTTTTCATCCGGGACGTGCGGTTATATGTGTTGGACATCAGCAAGTTCTTCCCCGAACAGTGCTTGCACTTAGGGTTCTACTTTTCTAAAAGAATCGGCGGTGGACAAACCTCCCTTTAGTAGACCTCCCCAGAGTGAAAATGGCCTGGGGCCGAAATCGACGGACCTGGACCCGCAAAAATGACGGCCGCGACGCCCTCTCGCGAACCGAAAACGGCCAATTCACTAATCGACGTGTCAGGGTAGGAGGTCTGCCCACCCCCGAAAGAACTGGGCCTGGTTGCCGGTCCAGCCGGCTCGTGGCCGCCCGTCGCCGCCGTCCTCGGTCACGACTCTGCTCGCGCGAGGCTCGCACGTTGCACTGCCTTGCGTTGCTTTGCACTGCATTGCTTTGCATTGCTTTGCACTGCTTTGCCTTACCACGACCAGCAGCACTGCTTGCGCTTCAAGGTTCTTACTTCGCTTCTGGAATAGGTGGGGCCACGGTACCGCCCCAGCCGGCTTCTTGCCGCCCGTCGCCGCCGTCCGCCGCCGTCGCAACTGGGCCCGGGTGCTGCCCCGGCCGGCGTGTGGCCGCCCGTTGTCGTCCGTCGCCGCCGTGCGTCGCCGCCACTTGCGCCGAGTTGCGTTGCTGTCGTCGCAGTGTATCGCATTGCGTTGCTTTGCATAGTTTTGCGTTGCTTTGCATCGTTTGCACTGCGTTGCATCGCATTGCATCGCGTTGCATTGCTTTGCGTTGCATTGCTTTGCGTTGCATTGCTTTGCATTGCCTTGTACTGATTTGCAATTCCATGGCGTTGCTGCGAATGGCTTTGTGATCGCATTGCGTTGCTTTGCGGTGCTTCGTGTTGTTTTCTGTTGCTTTGCATTGCGCAACATATATTGCACCACCTACATTGCACAGCATTGATTTCACCACCTGGATTGCGCTGCGTGGGTGGTAGGAAATGGCTGTTTGGGGTCCACGCTGGCTAATTCTCAGACGTATAGAGACAGCGAGAAACACAAACATATAGAGAGCGCAGCGATTCGGACACCGCGTGTCTGGACGCGGGGCTGCAAGAGCCACTCTACGCCCACCTCATGCGGCGGGAGGTGCCACAAATACGTGCCGGGGGTGGCGCGAAAAACGCCCCCCTTGCGCGGTTTGCTCGGGACCACGACTGGACAGAAGTCCAAGGCATGGTGATTCTGACGTGGCTCTCCCGGTCTGCACGCCCACGGTGAAAGGAGGCCCAAATATTGCACGTTTCGGCATGCGCGCCTCTGGGTCCCTGCAAGAATGCGTCGCGGAGGAACACCTCCAACCGCAACCCAAGGCGTGATTCGTGGAACGTGATGTCAGGCGTTCTCACGGGACACGAGTGAAGGAGCTGGCGGCGGCAGCGCTGGCAGTGAGCCCCACATCGCGCCTGGATGACCTCGCGGAGGGAAGCTGCAGGGGGCAGCGGCGGTGGAGACGCCGAGTCGGCGGCGCTTCTGGCGGACTGGGATCGGTGGCGCCGTGCGAGAAGAGGCCCCGACGGTTCCCGGGCGCGACGCAGCGCGTGCGCGAGGCGCGCGGCGCGCTCTGCGCGCGGCGCGCTCTTGGAGCGCGGCGGCCCGGTGACGGCCCGCCGCGGGGGGGTGGGCGGGGGCGCGACGCCCGTCTGGAGGCGACCGGCCGCCCGCCCGGGGGGGAGCCCTGGAGCCCCGGTGGGCGGGGGCAGCCCTGCCCAGATCGCCCGACCCCTGCTGGGGCGTTTGAAGGGGACCTGGGACACACAAATAAATACACACAAATAAAATGATTCTCCATATTTTCCCATATTTTCAAAGTTTTTGTCTTCCCCACCACTTCCCATATTTTCCTATATTTTCTGGGGGATCGAAGATTCATTGTGTCTGTGTGTTTTTTCTTCTCCTGGGCGTTGTGTGCCTGGTGGCAGGCGCGGTTGGCCCGCACAACAAGGGTGCGCGGCGAGGATCTGCGAGGGCCTCGGGCGCCGGCTTCGGAGCTCTTCGAGCGGGGGTGGGGCCAGCAACACTGGCCACGGCTGGACCGAGGAGGCAACAATGCAAGGGCATGCTGGGGACTTATTCTTCTTCTCCTTCTCATTATCATTATTTTTCTTCTTCTTCTTCTTCATTATTCCTCCATGTTACCCATTTTTACTACGCGGGCTGACTGTATCACGGAAGGGGGTGCTGGGTGTTCGATGGGGTTGGCCAGCACCGCGGCCTGGGGTTAAGTCGGGCCTGTCCCTCTACAGGGGGAATATTCAAAATAGTTAAACAATAATATGGGGGCGATGTTTTGTTGAATACGGCTTGACTATCGTAGTTTGTTCATCCAAAATAGGACGATAAGAATATATTGACACAAATTGTTATTGATACGTTCCCGGGGTTCCGGGACTTCTAACCATCTTCGTGCGGGGTACACTTTGTTGCGCCGAATATTGTCTTGTTGCGTCGAATATTGTCTACTCTGCCTGGCGCCGCTGGTCGGTCACAACTGCGCAATCGAGTAGTCGCCCTTGGGGGGCTATTTGGCACTTGCTGATCCCTTTTCTCGTTGCCGAGCGCGGGGGGGACGGTGGCGCACCGCCCCGTCGCCCGCCGCCGCGCACTGCGCGCCTCGGTGGATTACCAGAAACCTGGCAAGGCCAATCGCGCGCGACTCTGGAACATTCTCCGAGGGTAGATTTGAAAAATTCAGAAACGTTTATGAACATGTCCTGCCTACTTCTGGAATCCTGGAATCGATCTTGAACAATTCCGGAACCAATTTTGACAAATCCGGGGGTCCATTTTGAAAGCTTCCGGATTTCAGAATTCTTCAGATGTCCTGCGCGGCGGGCGCATTCGACCCCTTCGAAATTATTATTTGCAAATTTCCGGGCTCCTATTTGAAAAATTCCGGAGCCGCTTTTGCAAAACAAGAAGCCGCGCTTTTTGGAAACGCTCCACACTCCAGAAATAATTCCCGGGCGGTCTGACGGGCGCAACCGGCTGATTCACGCACCGCGCCGCGCGCGACTGGACGCGGCGCGCGCCGCGCCCTGCGCCCGCGAACAGCACTCGAAGGGGTGACCCCCAAAATCGCGCCACGGCAGCTGCGACTCGCGGACTCCCCACAAGCAAAACAGAATGCAGCTTGGAATCTCCGAGAGCGCTCCGATGAGCGAATATGCACCGCGCGACGGAATGCGCTCGACCAGGAGCCCGCGCGGAAGGACGGGAAAACCTGAACTCTTGAAAACTATCAATATCAATTCTTCATGCTCATCTGACAAAGCCGCCTGTGGGGGGACATGCCCGACCTAAGTCTGGGGCGACGTCCCCCTCGTAGGCGAAGGTGCAGCCTCGCCGCCAGCGACGGGTCCGCGACCCCTGGTCGCCCACACGCGTGCCCTCCTCCCCAGGAGGCGGTTGGGAGCAGGTCCAGGTTAGAGGCCTCCTAGATGGTGTCGGAGTAGATGGTGTCGGCGGATCGCGTTGCATTGCCGATACATCGGCGATGCACTGGCGATACATCGCCGACGTCGACGATGCATCGGCGGCGTCGACGTGAAGCAAATCGGGCTCCACATCGAGCCGCATCGCCGATGCATCGGTGATGCGGCGCGATCCTCCGACTCCATCTGCTCCGACCCCATCTGGGAGGCCTAGACAGGTGCAGCCAGAGGAGAGAAGATGGAAGGGGGAGGGGTCCAGAGAGCGCCAGCAGCTCTGACCTGCTCCTGCCCCTCCCGATGCCTCGTCCCAGCGCAAGCGGGTACGGGCCATCTCCTCTGGGATCACTTTTCAGGCGGGGTCGCTTGCCGACGGTCCCCTGGAGCCCAGGAAGGGTCCAGCCGGCCTGAAAGCGGCGGAGAATGATCAGGGCCTGTTTCCGTCGTACGACCCTTTTACTCCAAAACGGCAAGCCTCCGAGACCATGTCGTTCAAGCGCCGCGACAGGTTCGCCGACTTGCAGATCTTCACGAGCACTGCCATGGATCGAAGGGGAAACAACTACACAAGCACAAACTTTCGGAGACCCGTACGTACCTCCGAACATTTATGCTTATGCCGGCCTTTCCTTTTCGAGATGGAGAGCGCTGTCCCCGCTGGCTCGCCGCTCACGATGCCATCCAGGCCCTTATGCAGGAGCTCGCGCACAATGTCTGGCGGCACGAGGTCCGAGAAGTTCTGCCCCCGCCTGCGGTAGCCGTCGCCGAGCCCTGACCTCCTCGTCGTCCTCCTCCTCCTGCTCCTCCTGCTCCTCGTCCTCCCCCTCCTCCTCCTCCTCCTGCTCCTCCTGCTCCTCGTCCTCCCCCTCCTCCTCCTCCTCCTCCTGCTCCTCCTCCTCATCCTCCTCCTTGTCCTCCTCCTCCTCCTCCTCCTCCTCCTGCTTCTCTCCTCCTCCCTCCCCCTCCTCCTCCTCCTGCTCCTCCCCCTCCTCCTCTCCCTCCTCTCTCCCCCTCCTCCCCCTCCACCTCCTCCTCGTCCTCCTCCTCCTCCACCCTTATCCCCCCCCTCCTCCACCTGCTCTGCTCCTGCTCCTGCTCCTGCTCTCCTCCTCCTCCTGCTCCTGCTCCTCTCTCCTCCGCCTCCTCCTCCTCCTCCTCCTTCCTGCTCCTCCTCCTTCTCCTCCTCCCCCTCCCCCTCCTCCTCTTCCTCCTCCTCCTTCTCCTCCTCCTCCTCCTCCTCCTGCTCCTCCTCCTCCTTCTCTTTCTCCCCGAGCCCATTGTTTCTTTCATCGCGGCGTTCTCCCCCGATTCCGACCTCCCGGGGCGTTCTTGAAGTTGGGCTCTGGCTTGGATCACCGCGCGGGTTGCGCTGAGGATGGTGCTGGCCATGAGCGGACGCAAATGTGGGCTTCATGTGGCCCGCCTAGGCTTGCAAGCGGGCTGCAATGGCCCTAAACGGTTCAGGGTGGTAAAGATCTGGGCTAAGTGGGTTCCGCCACTTTGCAGAGTCATCACCCCCCCTAATAGACGCCTCCCAGATGGGGTCCGAGTAGATGGGGAGGACCGCGCCGCATCGGCGATGCATCGGCGAGGTATCGGCGATGCATCGGCGATGCAACGCCGAAGTCGGCGATGCATCGGCGACGTCGGCGTGGGGAAACACGGGCTCCACATCGAGCCGCATCGCCGATGCATCGGCGATGCGCCGCGATCGTTCGACCCCATCTACTCCGACCCTATCAAGGAGGCCTAGACCTAAGCCACATGGGGCAATTGTAACGCACTTGCAAGCCAGGTCAGGTCAGACATCCGCCACCGCGCCTCAAGCACGTGGCGGAGTGCCCCAAGGTTCGTGCAGCCCTGCAGCCTTGCAAAGTAGAGGGACAGTACAGTTCGAAGCGCCCGGACCTCGAATTTCCCAGCCGCTCCCGGGATTTCCCGGTAGCTCCGCGGTCGGCCCAAGACGACATCCCGAACCCTCGAGAGTCTCAAGAACCGCATCAGATGGCCAAAGAGGGCCCCAAGGCGGTCCAAGACAGCTTCAAGACTGCCCATTCTGGCCCCAGGACGGCCAAGAGTCCCACAAGGCGCCTCAAAAGGGCCCCGAGAGCACCCAAAAAAAGCAAATCGCCACATGCCATTCTAGGGAAACGTAAATGTTCAACATGTTCGCCTCCTGGGCTTTCAGCGTCCAAGACGGCCCGGGAAGCCTCCAAGATCTCCCCAAGACGGCCCCCAAGAGACCCCAAGATGGCTCAAGAAGGTCCAAGGCGGCACAAGAGGCGCCCACGCCGGCCCAAGAGGGCCCCCAAAGGGCCCCATGATGGGGAACTCGAGCTGAGATTTCGAGCCCTCCGCCCCAGAGGGCCCCCGAGATCGACAGCCAACCCCTAAGAAGTCCCCAAGAGGCCCCAAGAGGCCGTCAAACGGCCCTCGTGACGCCCCAAGAGGCTTCAAAATTGCCTCCAAGAGACTCTCCAGAGGCTTCCCAAGATACCCCAACAAGCATCCAGAAGGCTATTGTCCAATAACCCAGGCAGGGTGGCGGGATGGGCCGAAAACCACAGGTCCGCCGCCACCTGTGGCCTTGCCATATGGGGTGCCTGGCGTGCTAAAGCCAACCGCTTCTGGCTTTGGTTCTTTTCCAAAATGAAAGGGGAACTCGGACACACAAATAAATATACACAAATAACCAGATTCCTCATATTTTGCCATATTTTCTGGGATCTTGTCTTCCCCCCACTTCCCATATTTTCCCATATTTTCTGGGGAATCGACGATTAATTGTGTCTGTGTGTTTCTTCCCCTCCTGACAAAAGAATCCCCCCTGGGGCTTCGGCCCGTCCCGCCGGCCACCTGGAAGGCTCTGGGCGGGGTGGCTCCAAGGGTTTTCCTCCTCCAGGTGGCTCCAAGCACGGCGGCCCCCCCAAATGACCTCCAAGACGGCTGAGGTGGCCTCCATCTTCGCCCAAGATGGTCCAAGATGGCCTCCAAGACGGCCCGAAAAGGTCCCAGATGCCTCCAGGTCCGCCCAAGAAGCCTCCAAGATGGCCCACGACAACCCAAGAGGCCCACAATACGCATCCAGGACGTCTTCCAGGGGGGCCCGAAGAGGCCAACATTATTCATTTTCCATGGGTGTTTGAAGAATTTTGGCATTTACTTCTTTTCGGCTTTCCGATATCCCAAGACAGCCTCAGAGGCCACCAAGATCGCCCCAATATGGCCCCAACGGCCACCAAGATAACCTCATGTCGGCCCAAGAAGCCTCCAAGACGGCCCCAAGAGGCCTCCAAGTTCACCCAAGATGGTCTCCAAGACGGCCAACGACAGCCCAAGATGGCCTCCAAGACGGCCCAGGGGGGCCCAAGATGTTTCCAAATTCGCAGAAGAAGTCTCCAAGACCAGTTCAATAAGCCCCTAAGAAGCCTCCACGACGGCACAAGAGGTCTCCAAGAGATTCCCTGGAAGGCTGAAGAAAACACAATCCTTGATTTGAGGTCTGTGTGTGTTTTTTGTTAAAGATGTTGGCCTTTGCTTATTTTATACTTTCCAACGGCCCAAGACGGCCCATGAGGTCTCAAATCGTTTCAAGACGGCTCCCAAAGCCTCCACGATGAGCTTATGAGGGCCCCAGAAGCTTCAAACCGGCCCCAGCAGGGCTTCCAAAATCGCCCAAGATTGTCCAAGATGGCCTCCAAGACGGCCCAAGAGGATCCGAGATGGCCTCCACGACGGCCCAAGAGGGTCCAAGATGCATCCGAGCCCGCTCAGGAAGCCTCCACAACGGCCAAAGACAGCCCAAAACGCCCCCCGAAGGCCTCCAAAACGGCTCCAGGGGACTCCAAGCTTTTCGGCCTTCCGACGGCCCAAGGCGGCGCAAGAGGCCTCCAAGACGGGCACAAGATCGCCCAAGAGGCCTCCAAGATGGTTCCATGACGGCCAAAGAGGCTCCCAAGAGGGCCCCACGACGGCCGAAAAGGCATGCAAGACGTCCAAGATGGCCTCTAAGACGGTCCAGAAACGCCCGCAGAGAGCTCAAGATAGTCCAGGGAGGCCCCGAAGACGGCCTCCGACGGCGTGAGATGGACCAGAAACGTAATAAGACAGCCGAACATGCCCCCAAGAAACGCCCAAAGGCCCCCAAAGAGCCTAAGGAGGCCCCCAAGAGGCCTCCAAGACGCCCACAATGGCTTCCAATACGGCGCTCAGACGCCCCAAGAAGGCCCCTAGCCGGTTCACAGATGCATCCAAGACGGCTTCCGGCAACGTCAGAGGGGCCACAGAGAGCTCAAAGAAACCTCCAACGGCGCCCAACAGGCCCAAGCAGGCCCCCAAGGAACCTGCAAGAGGCCCCAACGAAACTATAAGGAATTTCCCGAACTACCCCACGAGGCTCCAAAAGGCCCCCTCCTCTTACTCCTTCTCTTCCTCATCATCTTCCTCCCTCTTCTGATCCTCCTCCTTATCCTCCCTCTAGTGTTTCCCCCAGAGTTTCCAGAGCGGCTGGAGGAGCACATCGCCCGATGGCTTGGCCAAACTGGGGCCCACTCCAAAATAACATGTTTGAGGATGTCTGCAGCGACAAGCGGGTCAACACCTTCATTATTCGAGGATGTCTCGAGCGGAACGTGAACTTCCCAGGGCCCCCCGAGGCCCATCGTCGCCGCCGCAATCGTCCCGTCTCGCCCACGTGTTCCCCGAAGGCTCTCCGAACGAATTCGGGGACCATGTTGACTAGCCGAGGTCTAGTCCAGCAGGCCAAGAGCGTCGTTAATTTTGCAACCGTCGTGTGGACTTGCCACAGGGGTGTCTTCTGCGCTAGACTTCTTAAAAGCTGGTTTTGATAGTTGTCCAAAGCACCTCCCTTTCAGCTTCGGCCGACGCCTCCAGCCACCTTGAAGGCCACCGAAGACGTTCACTCCTTCGGTCTTGTCCTTCGATATGGCCCCGGGATGCCCTCCAAGACGACCAAGATAGTCCAATATGGCATCCAATGTCGTCCAGGATGCCCCAAGGTGGCCTCCAGGATGGTCCAAGAGGAACCAACATGCCTCCAAGTCCGCCCAATAATTCTCCACGATGTTCTACATCCGCCGGCAGTGCATCTCTCAACGTGGGCCCGTGGCGCCATTCGGCTGTAGATCAGCTGGCGACGTGGCGCCCCGCGTTCCACGCGTGAAGACTGGTTGCTGCTGGGCATGGCACTGCGTCGTTCGCATCTGTAGGTATGTCCACATGCGAGGCTCATTCGCGGCACTGCGCATGGAACGTACCAACACTGAGCATGGCCTGTTTGCCTACAAAAATACATGGGCGTGATTAAAGTTTGGCCCTTTTTTAGCATAGCCGAAATGGCTACGATGCATCCACACGCTGTTGTGGCATGAGGGGGTGCTTCGATCGGTGTCGTTGTGATGTGGAGCTGGTTGCACCGAAATACAATCAGTGCTACTTGGGCGCAGCAGCGCCTGAGCACCGCAGTGACAGTGAGCACCCAGATGCCTGTGGGCACAACATCGCCAAGATCCACCCTTATCCTTCCACCACTCCTCCCTCCAACTTGAAGTTGCAGCGGAGACACACTGGACGAGTTTATATTTGATTTGCGCTGGGAATCGAGACTGCTGCGACCGCACGCGCATTTCTTCCAAGACAGTTGTTTACCTCTTGGATTCGGCCTGAGCTGGATCAATACCGCCTGAGTCCAACAACGCCTCAGCACCAATGTGACTCTGAGCTCTTGCTA